TGGAGCTTTGGCCACATCCCGGTGTTCCTCCCACTCCTCGCGCGCTTCCCCCGCTTCCGGTTCCCACGCGCGCGTTTCTGCCCCCGGGAGCCTGCCCTCCCGAGATCGGGGAAAGCCATTTAACTGGCTACTCATTTCCTCTTCGGCACTTTCTTTTTCGGGCGGAGTCACTGCCTTTCACTCCGCGGCGTTTGTCTTCCTCCTGTTGCTTCATTCCCAGGGTCTGGCTGCGATCGCTCCGTTACCAGTCCCGCGTTCGTACGTCGGGGGACTTTTTGCTGGTAGTTTCCAGGGCCAGACCCGCGCGGTAAACGTCTCCTTCCCAGGGGCTGGGCATGTTTGCTTGTAAATATGCTGTTGAATAATCTGCAGGTGGCAACATCAACAGTGACTCACTGCATTTTGCAAACATGAAAGGCATGCGTTTCGGAAAGCCAGGGCCGGGTGAATGGTTGGCCTTGTTCCTGCCGTGCTGGTAATCACTCCGGGCCTATCTCTCCGGGAACCGGTAGGCCTGCCCCATCCCGGGCCATTAAATGCATTTCGGGGCAGCCACGCCTGTGGGAACGCCAGGTAAGCCGTGCTCCGCCCTCCCCTGCGGCTCCGGGAGGCTGTTGCTGTGACTCAGGCTCCGTGAGGGCCGGAACCCAGCGGTCCTGTTTCCAGGTACCTGCCTGGCAGTGGGGTAGGCACACACCTCGCCGGGGCCTCCCCGCCTCTGAAAGGCACCGGGTTTCCTCTAACTCAGGGTAGGACATTGTAGCCCTGGAAGCAGACACGACCACGTCTGGGTCTGTGAGGTGGGCTAGGTGTTCACCGTACTCTGCAGGCTGCACCCCAGGAGCCTGGCTTCTCAGGGGGCACATCCCAGGGCCCCTGGGCAGGGGTCACTGGGCCCACACCCCTCCGGCCTGTGGCGGGCTGCTTGCCGGCGATCCTGTAGGCAGGGTGGGAAATGGACCAGAGCTGGAGCCTGGGGAAGGAGAGCCCTGAAGGGGGTGCCTGTGCTGCCTCCTGGGAAGGGCTGTTTGCTTCTAAGCGTCAGCGCCTGTTGGCAAGTGCGCCCGCGTCTGAGCCTGCTCTCCTCTCCCAGGAAACCTACCCCCAGTGGCGCTTGTACTGTGGCGGTCGGACTTGTCTTCCGAGTTGAGGCCAGGCCTGTGCGTGGAGGGCCATCAGGGGGTGTTCGCGACGTGAGCGCAGGGCAGCTGAGGTGGACATTTTCTCCCTGGAACGGGAGGTTCAGGACTGTCCACGCACGGCCCCTCGGCCTGCCGCACAGCTTTGCCGTGAATGTCTGACGTCATGAATGTCTTCACCGCGGGGTGGAGTCCTGACTGTCTGGGAACTGCGTTCACTGCTCTTGGGCCCAGTGGGCTGCGGTCACGTGAGACTTGGGCTCTTCTGTTTGCATTGTGGGGCCACACGCGCACACATCCCCTCCACACACATACGCACACATACATACACCACACACACACACATACACATACACACACAGCCACACACAAACAAGAGAGGTACTTTAAAACAGGGATTTATGAACAACTACATCCTTTTAAACAAACACTGTGCTTTGGAATCAGAACATTAGTGGGGATTATGAGTAATGGTACCCTTTCTTACTCAGTAATAGCAATTGAGGGGCGGGGAGAGAGAGTAAAGTTTCTACCGAAATGCTTTTGACTCAACAGAAGATATAATTAGTCAAGGACAGAAGTGGAGAATAGCAGGGATCTATGGCCTCTAGTCTCTTGCTCATTTCGCTTTATCATTCTTGCTTCTACACTGGAGCCATTCCAATATCACATCTACAGGAAACAGACAATGACAAAATACGTAGATAATTCTTGAATACAAATGATTCTGTACACACACACATACATACACACATACACACACACACAGAGAGACATACATACACACACACAAAGACACACACACACACATACACGCACCCCGCCCCGGCTGCAGCAACTGTCCTGTTCAGGCCAAACTCGGTTTATCTCTGCCCCCACTCATCTTTGTTCCCGCCCTCAGTTATTTGGAAGCAAATCACTAGTGTCGGATTGCCCTGCCTGTAAAGACTTCAATGAAAGATAAAGATTCTTTTCTTAAAACCTAACCACAGTGTCGCTATCGCCCCTAAAAAGCTAATAATGATTTCTTCCTGTCACCAGACGCCCAGGCAGTGTTTGGGTTCCCCTTCCTGCCGCGGAATTTTTCTAAGTGTTTGGGTCGGGGGCGCACTCCGATCGGTTGGGGTCCGGGATCCGTTCGCGCCATCTCCTGCTTTCTCTCGCTGAGGAGCGAGGTCGCGTCCTGTAGGTTTCCCACGTTACAGATTGGGCTCCTGGGGGCCCGTTTGCATGTCCTTCCCCGTCCTTCCTGTGTATTGGTTGTTGGCCCTGGAGGCTTGGTCAGACTGGCATTGGACCTTTGGGGCCAGAACTGCCTCCTAGGAGTGGGTGGTGTGTCTGTGAGGAAGCCATTGCCGAGGTCGGCCACGTCTGGTCACCGGTGGTGTACTCCTCGAGGCTCCGCTCTGCTGTGCTGGCCCTGCCCCCTGGCAGCACGCGGTGACCGACATGTCACGGATCACGGCCTCTGCACATGGACGGTGATGGACAGTCACTCATGGTAACCACCGAAGCATGTTGCTACATAAATGTTACTGCGTAAACGAAAACGTACAGAACGTAGTTTCTCGTTGCTATTCCAACGGGTCATTGGAAGAAGATCAAATTAGTCACTGACCGTTGGACAAGGAGTTGTTAGAGCGAAATTAATTGGAAAGTGTCCTGGACTTCATGAGGACGGCGGGTTAGCCCAGTGCCCAGCATCCCAGGGGACAGCAAGTGTGTCCCTCCCTCCCTCCCAATCCTTCCTGACGCTGTAGAGTCTCGTGTAGACCCATGTCACGGCCCTGGGCGGTGGCTGGTCCAGGACTGGGCTTGTGTGCCCAGTTGGGTTTGCACTTGGACAAGAGAGGGTGTGGAGAAAAGAGCTGTGATGAGGGGGGAGGCTGGTCTGCCATGACGTGTTGTGACGTGTGCGGACGTGTGGAGCAGGTAGGGCCACAGAAACCACAAGGGAGATGGGCTCTCAGGTGGGGCCCCTTCTGACCGGAGAGGAAGAGGTTGAGCCAGAAGAGCCTTCCCTGAAGGAAGACATGTTCGGGGGGGCGGCGTGTCCAGGGGGGCGGCATGTCCAGACAGGTGGCTGTTGGGTAGAGGAGATGGTTTGAGGCTGCAGAACGGAGAGGCTGGTGCTGTGCCCTGACAGCTGGGCCAAGACATGAAATGGCCCTGGCCAGTGGCTCAGTGGGTTGGAGCATCATCCTGGTTTGATCCCCCGTTGGGGCCTGTATGGGAGGCAGCCCTCTGATATCTCTCTCTCTCTCTCTCTCTCTCTCTCTCTCATCGATAAAAATGTATTCTCGGATGAGGAATTTTTTTTTTTTTTTGCACTGTCTTTTCTATAGGGTTTCTTGTTATTGTTGTTTTTGTTAATCCTCACCGGAGGATATTTTTCCATTGATTTTTAGAGATAGGAAAAGATAGGAACACCAATGTGAGAGAAACACACCAACTGGTTGCCTCCAGCAGGCACCCCGACCAGGTCCCGGGCCCGGGAGGAGCCTGCAACCGAGGTACGTGCCCTTGACCAGAATCGAGCCCGGGGCCCCTCGTTCCGCAGGCCTGCGCTCTGTCCTCTGAGCCAGATGGGGTAGGGCGATTTTTTAAAAACATACGAAATGTGGCACTCTCTCTAGATAACAGCTTTTTTCTGGTTTTCTTGCCGGTTAGCAATTCTGGTATCATAAACATTTGCTCAGTCAGGCTGATGTCTTGCGCACACTTACTTCGGAAGCTTCCGGCCGTGCAGCTGGGGCCAGCCCGTCGCCTCGGGGGTTTGAGGACGGTGCCACTCTCTCCAGCGCGCAGTTCACCTGGAGATGGGGGCCTATCACCCCACAGGACATTTATGTCGCGTTTCAGAAGTCGCAGGGTGCTGTCTGTCGGGGTGTGTGTGGAGCTGGGTGCAGAGTGGGTTCATGGCACCCTTTGGCAGGGTGGGCGGCGCGGAGAGGGTGTGGGGGGCTCTGCCGTGTCCCCGTTTGCTGGGGTCCAACCCCAGCAGGTCCAGGGGTCCCCAAAGGTGTGGACGGAGTCGGCGAAGAAGAAATGACACGGAGACAGCATTCAGTTGATCAGCAGCCTTGCCAGGATCTCTAGCCACAATCTCCAGCCAAGTTCTGTGTC